CCCCAAAACCCCAAAACCCCAAAACCCCTTAAGGAATTAATAGAGATAAGTTAGTGAAATGAATAGGAATAATAATATGGAAAATCAAAATTAGCAAAAATCTATTATTGCAAAATATAAACCCTTTTTCAGATATGCTATGGAGTTAAAGTAGGTTGCCCCTATTATAGCATATTTTTCAGAGTTGTATGGTATTACCTGAAGCTTAGAAACATTGAAGAAGTTGGGTGCTATTTAAACAGACTAAAACCAGGTCTAGAGTTTCAACTTGCTCAAGAAATTTTTAGACTAGCAATTAATCACATTAGAGACTATGAAGCAGAAGATCGAGAAGGAAAATAAAGAGAATCTAAAGTATTAAGTTGAGAATTTTGTTCAAGCAGTGTGTATGAAAACAGATAAAAGAGAAAGAGAAGCAATAGAAGCTCTTATTGAAACAGATTAGCTCAATGATACATTGAAAGAGCAATTAATCCACATCTATGAGGATTATTACAGATGTCAACATTTTGTGGAACTTTTAAGTATGGTAACTGATGATGCCCAAATTTCAAAAGATTGGAGAGAAAAATAGTAGTTTTTCAGGTTTAAATCAGGTTATGGAAGATAAATGATAAATGAAGGAAACATCGAAGCAATTAAAATGGTCAACCCATTTACTAATGAAAAGTTCTCTTAGATTTTGAAAAGCTAAGCTAGTTAATACAAGTTAAAAACACTGAGGCAGAGAGGCATTGATCAGCTAAATAGGTTAAACGAAATTACCAAGCCATAGAATAAGAATCAGCCTAACTCATAGATAGCATCTCAACAGATTAACAAAAATAGTAATACATAAATTAGCTAATAACCTTAGATATAAAACCAAAATCAGATTAATTAGTAGTAAGTTACTACTGGTGGATCTAGTAAATCCAATCCAAGAGGTCCAAAGTATTATTAAGATTCAATGAGTGCAAGAAAATTAGCATAAAATGCAATAAGCGAACTTGATTATAATAATATCTAGAATTCCTCTAAACTCCTAAGATAAGCTGTTGAAATACTTGAAAAGTATCAATGAAAATTACATTAAATTATTGACTTATAAGATTATACTCTTTTATTAATATATTTCTAGCAATGGATGGGGTTTTGGGGTTTTGGGGTTTTGGGG